ATCCTTGAAAAGATTATAAGAAAAATTAGATTCAATATATTCATCAATTAAAGGATCTACAACATCAACAAAATTAATTCTTCCAACACGATCTAGGCATTTCATTGCTTTGTAAACATCAAATTCAACGATCTCACCATCAAATTCCATTGTCAATATACCACTTCTAACATCGATCTTTGTATGTGTGGTGCTTAGAAAGGGTCGGCCTAAGAGTACCTCGAAATAAAAATCTGATCTATCATATTCCATGTCAATGACATAGAAATCTACAGAAAAAAATAATACATCGACCTTTACTAAGACATTTTTCATCACTCCTATTGGATAGATCACAAATCGATCAACCAACTATATGGTTATTCTTGTTTCCTTTAAAGGCTCATTAGTAATCATTTTATAAATAGAAAATGGCATAACATTGATTGAAGATCCTAAGTCACATATTGCACGTTTAATTTTAAAATTGCCTATTTTACAAGGTATAGCGAACATACCTTGATCCTTCATCTTTGGTGGGAGCTTTCGTTGAAAAATTAAAGAGACATGTTCTCCCAAATTTACCTTTTTGTGCCCCATTAATTTCCTCTTTGTAGTGCAAATTTCTTTTAAAAATCGAGCATACCTTGGTACTTGTCGAATTACATCAAGAAGTGGTATGTTGACTTGAACTTTTTGGAACACCTCTAATATCTCCCTTTCTTCAACTCTTTTATAATGCTTCACCAACCTTGATGGGAAGGGTGGTGGTATGATTTCATGAGAAGAAAGAGAATGATGTATGTCGAACGTACCTTGTATTTATGGATGTGGCATTTCTTCTTGTTCTTCCTGATATGCGACTTTTTTCGCTAGAACTTCAGGTGAGATGACTATTCCACTTCGAAGTGTGATGACACTAACATTCTCTCACAGGTTTAAATCTGTTTGAGAAGGTAGTCTTCCTTGTGATTCTAATTTCCCCACAGTTTGAGCTAGTCACCTCACTTGGTTATCCAACTCTTGAAGATGTGTCTCGGTTTGGCTTTTGAAATTTTCTATGGAGGCAATTAGCTTTTCCTGGGATGTTACCAACTTTTCTTGGGACATAACCAACTTTTCTTATGAATTTGCTAACTTTCCTATGATTTCTTCCAAGGATGGCTTTTGCGTTTGTTGTTGAAAAAAAGGGCTTGGTTGATTAGTTGGCCTTTGATTTGCCATACAGTTGAAGTTTGGTGGTCTCGCCATCCCAGATTATAAGTATTGTTGTATGGGTTATATTGCTTTGTGGTGGTCCTTGAAAGTTTCCTACGCCATTGATTTTTGCATTGCATTCTTCTTGTATCATCAGGCAACAGTTCGTCGGATGGTCTAGCTTCGTGTATATCCCACATGCTCTTGTTGCTCCAGATTTTTCTGCAACAAGTGAATTAACTACTTCAGTTAATTTATCTAGGGAAAATGTACCTATCTCGTGAACCTGTCAGCTGGATTCACTTGAAAAATGTTGAGAGTTGGCTGCCATAGTTGAAATCAATTCTGTTGTTGTTGTTGGAGTCATGTTGACTAATGCTCCTCCACTGGTGGCATCTACCATTTTCATTTCCATTGGTAAAAGGCCTTCATAAAAGTATTGAATACGTTTGCTCACTTAATCCGTGTGCGGACAATGTGCGCAAAGCTTTTTAAATCGCTCCCAATAATCATAAATACTTTCTACGCTCTTTTGTTGAATGGAAAGAATGCTCCTTCGTAACTCGTTTGCTTTAGGCGCTGGAAAAACCTGCCAAGAAAAATTCAAATCATGTCAGCCCATGAATTAACTGAATTTGCAAGTAAATAAAATAACAAATCTTTAGCCAAGTTATCGAACATGTTTGATGTCAAGTTATGTCAAGTCAAATTAAATTGAGCACAAATTACATCAGGTCAATTCAATAGTTTGACTCGAGTCAGATTGAGTTTGGGAGACTGCCTGCATCGATGCTAATAAAATAAGAAGAGCAAGAGAAGCATGATAATCACATGCAAATGTATACAAATTAATACGTAATTAATAATTAATAATTAATGTTTCTTAAATAAAATTCAATAATTAATAATTACTTGATTTCTTCACTAAAGATTGTGTCCAACTCCACCAGTGAAATGAATACGTAATTCAAGAACTAAACTTATCAAATAATTCCTGCAGTTAAATTTATCATTGACTTACATCAGTGTAATGAATACGTAATTCAAGCACTAAACTTATCACATCATTTCAACATTGAAATTTAGCATTGACTTACACCAGTAAAATGAATACGTAATTCTAGCGTTAAACTTATCACATGATTCCAATAATGAAACTTATCATTAACTTACACCAGTGATTTGAATACGTAATTCCAACACTAATCACATAATTCCTACAGTGAAACTTAACATTTTCTTACACCAACGAAATAAATACATAATTCCATCATTAAATTTATCACCTAATTCTAGTAGTGAAACTTAACATTGACTTAAATCAGTGAAATGAATACGTAATTCTAACACTAAACTTTTCACATAAGTCATGGAGTGAAACTGAACATTGACTTACACTAGTGAAATGAATACGTAATTCCAGCAATAAACTTATGATTTCACATATCACATGGTAATAAGGATTAAATCGGAGTGACACCGAGTCACCCAAACATACAACTAAACTTTCAATTGCTAACCATATCAAATGATAATACGGATTAAATTGGAGTACATTACCTTAAATAAAATAGTTAGAGTGGATACCTCCTCTTTCCTCACCTTCAAGATTTCTCTAAAATAGAAAGAGTTCAGTCAAAAAGAACAAAAGAATAATGCTAACAACATATGACTAAGTTTTTTAACATTTCTCCCGTCGCTTTAAGCCACGATCATAACCAATTAAAACCTAACATTTGTGATTCTTCCAAAATTTAAAATCTCTTCCCGTCACATTTGTGATTCTTACCTTAATTTGTATGTCTTCACCCTTAATCACCTTTATGAGGAAGATAGATGGAATAAGCGGAAAACAATTGATGGAAAAGGAATGGAGATGAAATTACTTTCCTTTTTCTCTCCCCTTTCTAGAACCCACCATAGTTTTCAATATATTTAGGCTTAGGATAGATTTTTATTTGAAAAAAGGATGAATTGCCCTTTTAGTCCCTTATTTTTGTCATCTCTTCTCAAGATTTCCTTGAGCTTACTAATTTACTCATCATTTATTCGATTTGGTTTAATCCTAATGTCCAAGGTTTTCATTAAAAACACTTGAGTCTAAATTCGATCGTCTAGCCGGGCTTGTCGGGTCATTACAAAATAAAGGATAAAGATGGGAAATTGTTGAAAATAGATTTCTTTCGACTTGGTTTCTGAAATATTATTGTGCTTCGACTATTGTTTGATATTTTGATTGGTGCTGCACGTTGAATGTTTGAGCCATACTGTTGAGGGGAGTTATGTGTTCTGGTGTTTTTGAGATCCATTAATAATCCTAAGCGTATTTTACTCACTTTTCGTGTTTAGACCTTCAAAAATAATTATTAATTTTAAGAATTTGGTATTTTTGACCACTTGAGTTTATTTTAATCATTGCAAGTATTAGGATCTCCTAATAAATTTATTTACTCATTTTAAGGTTATTTCAAGGTATTGAGGTACAACAAGAGGTGTTTCTAATATTTCAATAGTAAGTATTGATAATCAAATATGTGTTCACTTAATACTATCAATACTGAAGTAAGAGTATCGACAATGGATTAGGGGTATCAATATTAAAATAAAACACTAAAATTCTACGAGTCATTTAGTATCGATATTGTCCAAGGAAGTAAGAATATTGTACATAATGATATCGATACTTACCCCTTTACAACATATATTTCAAGGCTAAATTCATATAGTACTGATACTAATACCCAAAAAACTCAGAAAAAGATTCGGGAAATCACTTCAAAAGTCTTTAATCACTTGTTTTAAAGCCTTTCAGTAATCTTAAAGCTTATAAGATTAACAAGTAATCATTTAACATCATTTTTAAAATCTTTTACGTCAAAAATTAGTGGAGCAAGCTCTCTTTCAAAGTTCAATCGCCTCAAGATTGAAGTGAGTAGTCTTTCAATGTGACATCCCTTATGATTGGTGGAGTAAATTAACTTTTAAAATCCTATCTCCTCAGGCGTGAAGCAGTGAATCATTGTCTTTCAAAGGTTTATCGTCTTGAGTTGTTGGAGTATTTTCTTTGAATAAACTACCCAAGTCGTCGTTGAACATCTGAGCCTCAATTTAGAACTTGATTAAATCAATTGTGTTTCAGTCTTTGTCAAATTATTATTCAAAAATAATGGATAAAGATGGGCAATTGTTGGAAATAGATTTCTTTTCGGCTTTTTTCTGAACTTATTATTATGCTTCGACTATTGTTTGATATTATGATTAGTGATGCATGTTGAACGTTTGAGCCATACTGTTGAGGGGAGTTTTAAAAGAGAGATTATTAGCGTATACTGTTTTTTTCTTAGCAAAGTCTGTCTTGTTAAATAGAAAAAAGAACATATCAGATCACCTTTTGCCTCGTATACTGTTTGTTCATGTCTTGTTGCAACAAAATAATAAAAAACGAGTGCTTTAGTATTTCACTTAAATTGGCAATTTTGACTTTTTAATATGACTAAGATTATTCTTAAATTGGCAATGAGGAGATAAATGAATGAGCCTGATGCTATAATTAGATAATAATGATATTATAGACCTTGGAAGTTGCAATAGAGAGTAATGCATACAAGCAAGCAAACGAGTTGATAATTAAGCAGTGATCAGGAATCCCACGTACACTTGTTATACAGGATGATCATTATCACAAACTGAAGAGCAAGCAAGCATTTCTAGATAGCTAGCTATCTATTACATGCAGTAGCTGCATATTTATTTATTTATCTAATATGTTGATCATGAAACCAAGTGGGGGATCTGAGGTTTAAAATGAAATTTAAGGTTAAATATTACAGTGCATGATGGAGACGAATTGTAGTATCATCACCACAATCCACAAATTCATAGTTCACTGTAAGATGCCCGTCCCACCTGCCTTTGTCATCCATGATCTCAGAAAACGCTGGATAGTCCAAATCCAAACTTGGCCTGGTGCATGTATCCAGCACTCTCACCGTCACGCTTTTTCCATTGGCAGTGTTGGTCACCTGCATTCATATATGCATTCTGTCAATTCATGCACGCATGGTTTCTAGTAAAACAGAAACAAATTTATTTTGCTTGAAAACAAAGGGCGCTTACTTTTAAGCAGAGTCCACATCTTGATTGTGGCTTAGGAATCTCCGTCCACAGAAGGCGGTCCAATAATAGTTGCTGCGCCATTCAATAGTCTTAGATGCATATTCAGGGAACTGGGAGCAGTAAACGCCTACCTTTGTCAGACTCCAGTCATTCTCTTTAACCTTGTAGTCGGTCCAATAAGCTGTCGCATCTTCAGCAGCCATGGAAGAACCTATTGCCCACCCCAACATCACAATGCAGCTTATTAGTATAACCCTAATTATTGATCTCTCCATTCTTCTTTTTCTTTTTGGCCTATTCTTCTGCTTGCTTTGAATGATATATCCTTTCCTGGGATATGCTCTTATTTATAGGCAAAGTTCCCCTCAAAGGCTTTACAGGATAGCCATCACTTGTCTTTATTTTAATCCTCTTCTCAATTGGACTTCATTTATTTTAATTAATCTATATACACCCACATATTATTTTCATGCTTCTTTTGTTCTTATTTTATAGGATCAAATCTGCCTTCCTAATTCCTAGAAAGTCATGATAACTTTTATTATTACTATTATTTTGATTTTGTTCTAATTGCTTTGGATGATGTCCTTTAATTTATCGAAACTAAAAATTAAATAATTATTTTAAGGTCATGGATGGTAGTTTTTACAAATAAAAAATTATACCAAATAAATAATGGTAAAAATAATAATTTAAGTAGGAAGGGAGACAGCCTGCATCGTTGCTAATAAAATAAGAAGAGCAGAAGAAGCATGAAAATCACATGCAAATGTATACAAATTAATAATTAAAATAGATGAATTGTAACAATGATAATTAATAATTAATTTTTCTTAAATAAAATTTAATAATTAATAATTACTTGATTTCTTTACTAAAGATTGTGTCCAACTCCCAAGAAATTTTTTTTAGTATGATTATTTCATATGAAAAAAAATCACAAACAAGTAGAATTCACGTGGTCTTCTAAGTCTCAAGTCTAATAAGGGAACCTCAATTTCTTGGGGATTCCACGATGATGGTGCTCCTCCGACAAACAGTCTACCTCTACAATCCTGAGATATCAAACGATTTAAAGAGTGAGCCACAAGAGCCCATAAATGTATAATTATCCTGTGAGATTTATATATTATAAGTTAAGTAATGTAAATGAGAAGTGCATATATTTGTAATCTTCCAAAGTTCATACATATAAATATACATTTTTCCAACAGTCGCTATATCATTTAATCCAAGGAATTAGCATTATCATTATTATTATGATCGCATAATTATAAACATTGTAAATACCCCATGTGAGGCACTTGAATCACTTCAGGGCTCCCGTACGAGTTTCCTGGTAGCAAATAAGATAATATGTGAGTCACTCTAATCCTTCAGAGTTCTCGTGCGAGTCAATCGAAATAATTACGATTAGGTGCTCCCGTGGAAGTCACTCGAATCCTTCGGGGCTCCTGTGCAAGTCACTCTCCTTCAAGGCTCCCGTGCAAGTCACCCGAAATAATTCTGATTAGGTGCTCCCGTGTGAGTCACTCTATTCCTTAGGGTCTTCGTGTGAGTAACCAAGAATAATCATGATTAGGTGCTCCCTTGCGAGTCACTCTAATCCTTCAAGGCTCATGTGCAAGTCATCTGGAATACTCATTATTACATATCTTTGCATATCAAGTGAGTCATAGCTCTTTATCATTCACCTAGCTTTCATTCACGCTTCCATACATATTTTATCTTATTGTCACAACATAAATTTACAATCGTGAACATTAACATGTAATTCCAGCACTAAATTAAACACATCACAATTCTAGCAGTGAAACGTAGCATTGATTTACACCAGTGAAATGAATACGCAATTCTAGCACTAAACTTATGACATGATTTCAGTAGTGAAACTTAACATTGACTTACACTAGTGAAATGAATATGTAATTCAAGCACTAAACTTATCACATCATTTTAGCAGTGAAATTTAGCATTGACTTACACCAGTAAAATGAATACGTAATTCCAGCGCTAAACTTATCACATAATTCCAGTAATGAAACTTAACATTAACTTACACCAACAAAATGAATACGTAATTCCAACACTAAACTTATCTCATAATTCCAACAGTGAAACTTAACATTTACTTACACCAGTGAAATGAATACGTAATTCCAGCACTAAACTTATCACATAATTCTAGCAATGAAATTTAACATTGATTACACCAGTAAAATAAATACGTAATTCCAACACAACTTATTACATAATTCCAGCAACGAAACTTAACATTGACTTATATCAGTGAAATGAATACGTAAATCCAACACTAAACTTTGAAGCTTAACATTGACTTACATCAGTGAAATGAATATGTAATTTAGCACTAAACTTATCACATAATTCCCGAAGTGAAATTTAACATTGACTTACAAATAATTAAATATTATTGTATTTCGTCCTAAAATTCAAAGAATGTTATTTGTATGGAATCTTAAATTAAATTAAATTAAATTCAAACTCGTAAATTTCATTACAAAGACAACTAATTAATCGACCAGGAACCGATTTAGGGCACTTGGGGGTGTTAATCCTTCCCCGCGCGTAACCGACTCCCAAACTCAAATTTTTGGTAACGCAGACCACAAATTTGTTATTTCAATTAAAATCAATATTTTTATTAAAATGACAAATAATTTTTGGGTGCTCAATCACACCCTAATCAAATATTGGTGGTGACTCCTCAAATCACGTTTTATTATTAACAGGTAATCAAATTATTCAAAAAAGATACCTTTTAAAAATCGTTTCGACAATCATATAACGGATTTAGGGGCTTACAATCAAGGGAGGAGAAGGAAGGCAAGTGAACGTGGCCTTCAAAGGCAATCGATAATAAGGAATAAATAGTTTGCATATGATATATGGCGATATGTGACTCTACGTTTTGGGAATTAGTATTAATTTTTGTTGTAATTTTAACTTTAAGATTGAAATTTCAGTCTTAACTGATCATTTGGTAGGTTAGAAGTATGAAATATGTAAAAATTTATTTAACATTTTAGGTTTAACTGGTCAATAGTATGCTCGTGTGTATGTTTAGTATGCAAAAACATACGAATCTTGAGTTGAAAGGTCAAATCATTTGTCCGTATTACTTTTTTGATTTGGATAAGTCATAAAGCATGTATATATGTTATACTTGTTAGATTAAGTAAATAATTCCCATAGCCAAAAATGAAAAATCGCATGAATTAGTACTTAGTGGTTTACATTTTTATATATGATGTTATTGATCATGAAATTTGGCACACGAGCTTTTTTCGTGCATTGACTATGTTGATGAATCTTTAGGAGCATGCATAGGATGATCGATGATGTTGGGAGCCCAATTTCTTGCTTAAAACCTTTAAATATGTAGTTCTACGTGAAAAATATAGAAACCGAGCAATGTACGTTTGTTTGGAAGATTTTCATAAAATCGTTACCCTGCTTAGGTTGAAGATATACACACTCATAAAGCTTACTTTATTGATAACTAAGTTAGCATCACAATATCACTCTAAGACTGCAAGATAGTCAGCAAATTCTAGGTTTCAATCCATTGTATCTTTAAGGTACTTTAGTAAGTTCTTGAGTGCAATAAGTATATCTACTTTATTTCAAAGTGTCACACCCCAATTTAGGGGGTCAAATTATAAGTTTATGAAACTTATAGTCAGTTTTTGAAGTTACAGGAAATTCAAAGACTTAGTTCTAAATTTACCCATTTTTGTGAGATGTTGAAAAATAAAATCTCCCTCCCCCGTGTAATCTAGTTTTCTCCAGAAGTTTTCCCCAATTTCTTTCCCCCGTCGACCTCCTTTTGTAGCCCCGATTCTCCACCATCCAACCACCATTCGTTGATCTGAAACCACCAATAGACTCACCATTGAACGGAGAACAAAACCCGACCTCTATTCCGTCGTGAATCGGTACTGTTCGCCGTAAAACTCAACAGGAAGTTTCATTGGTTTTAACTCGATCGTCATTGGTTTTTCGTCGATTTCGGTCGATCCGGTCACCCGTTCATCACACCTCCTACACCAACGGACTCACCATCACCGTGTGCTCAAAACCCAACCAAAATTGTCTCATCGTTGTTGCTCCGTCGTCTTCACTTGAAAGCCACCGTCGGATAAGTTGGTACGTTTTAAAAATCTACAATCCATTATGTTTTGATGAAAAATAACACTTGCACGAGACTCATGAGGTCTCGACTACAAATCTGGAAAATTTCACGCCGAACCGAAGACCGGAGCCGTCGCACGAGCTGCACGCGCCGTATACCCTAAGAGTGGGCGTCGTCTGTCATCCAGGGGAGCCGTTTGATCCGAGCCAAGCCAACCCGAGTCGAGCCGAGCCACCTGGACCAAGTCGTTAACTGTTGACCCCTATTGACCATTGATCGTCGTTGACCATTGACTTTGACTAAAAAAGTCAAAATTTTCAAAGAAAGTCATATTTTATGTTTTTCGATGTCGTGAGTCTGATTCCGAAGTCCGTTTCGCCAAATTCGAACATGGTAAGATGTTTTTCACTGATTAATTACCCGATTTGATCCATTTTTCGCAATTAAGCTCTGTTTTTGATGAAATTTATTTTGTTATGTATTTGAGGAATCATTGGAAGTTGAATTAAAGATCGAGGGCATTCGAATGAAATTTAAATGGTCAATCAGTATGAAACAAAAATCGAGGTAATACTTTACTACCTCTTTGCATGCTTTGTGGAATATGTTAATAATGGGTAAATGCATGGATGTATAATTGGTCTATTATGCCTATTTGATTATGGATGGACTAGAACCGAATACGGTTTAAGTGATAAATTGGTTAAGAGTCTATTGAATTACATAAAGGAATTGGATGACTAGTAAGAAATGATGTCTAGTACAGTGAGTAATATGAAGAGAAAATGACCTTAGATTTATTAAATTCTCATTAATTTCGTTAAAAGGTTTAATACCAAAAGCACCTGATTATAAAATTATAAAATTACCCCAATAGAGTAAAAATGGTCCAGACTAACCCTCACAATAAAGGTACTATGAGATTCGTATTTAATCCGATAATATGCTGAATCACCTGTTAGATTCCTGATCTATTGGAAAGTCATTGATAATCATTTCTTACATCCGAGAAGGTACAATACCTAAAATTATCGTCTTATCAGTAAATGCCAAAAGGGTAAAACATTAGAAGTATGATTTAAATTTGCATTGTTTAGACAATTTTTAGTACATGGAAAT